GCCGGGCCGGCCCCAGCGTTTGCCGCTGTGGCGTTTGGTCCGGCCAGAGCCTTGGCCGCAGCTGCCGCGCAGCTCGGCGCGCGCGTCCCTGGGCAGCGCTGCGTCCCGCGGGGGGCAGGAGCGCTCCCTAAACGGCTCCTGGTAAAGCCTGCACGTGAGTTAGGGAGATGAGTTACTTCAGTCAGTGGTACAATCTCATACTTTTTTTTTTTTTTTGTATAGCCGTGCAAAAGTTTTTAAAGAAAAGTTTTGCTTTAGGCAGACAGGCAGATGTTCTAGTGATTTGATTTAATTCCTTTCAAGAGAGAGCTGGAAAATAGGTGCGAAATAATTTATTTACATCATTTTGGAATGAACTTAACTGTCAGTGAGCGAGGACAGGTCTGCAGCTCTGGAGACTAAGTCTCTTAACTGCAACGTAGATAGCAGCAAGCATAAAAATGACGCGCACGTGATCCCATAATCTGCCTCAGCTCTGACCCGAGGCGGCTACCTCCATCCAGATCTGAAACCTTATTCCGTGTCTGAACATGGTTGGGCTTTGGGGTATTCCTTTAGTACGGCTGTGTCTGAATCCTGCTGCTTTGTGAGTTTTCGGGAACTGGGATAGATAGGGACCGCTCGTGTGCAGAAGAGGAATAAGAAAAACGTGTTTGCAGGCAGTTGTTATGCATCATAAGGAAACAGGAAAGGGCCGTTTCTGCTCCGTTTCTGTGCTGGTGGCTTTTGCAGCGCTGAGCCCTTGCGAGAGCCCGGCTCTGCGCTGCCCCGCGCGGGGCGCGCCTGCCGCAGCGCCGTGGCGCGGCTCGCTGCGGGGATAGCAGCGCTCTGGTCGCTGAGGTTTGGTCAGAAAACTGGGTTTGTGCTTTACGAGGTGTTTCTCCGTAATTTCTCGTGATTGGTTTGTGTTGGGTGTTCAGGGATCTGGTTCTATTTCATCGTCTGGATTCGCCTCTTTTTTCCAATAGTTTTCTTTCTCCTACCACGGTAGAGTTACTTTATCAAACTGACTTTAAAGCAAAATATTAAGACGAGGGCATTAATATCTGAAGCCAAATGAAACTGAAAAGAGTAGAAGACTCCCAGTAAATAAGAGGAGAGTTTTAATTCTGGGCAGTTTATGATCCAGTATACAGGCTTTCTCGTGGTGAATTGCTGCATATATGAAATGTCTCAGTTACTTAAATGATTGATATAATTCCTAATCTTTGAATAGGTTTAAAAAAGATGTTTACGGTGTCTTGAGACAAAAAGAAAAGAAATAATTCTTGAAATGTCTTGCTAAACTTTCTAAAAATAAGAACAGTTTCAAATGAGATTAATTTGGTAACGAGGGGTTATTTGTGTTCCAATGGAGAATACAGTGAGGCGTCAAACTCGGGCTTCTCGGGAAGGCTGAGATTCACAACAGTGTTTAGCAGCTTCCCCACAAATCAGCGGTTCCCCACAACCTCAGGCTTTTGAATGCCTGTGTAAATCTGGGTGCATATGTACCTTATTGTAAGGTGCTGAGCATCTTGGCTCTTAACTGATTCGAATAGGCTCCTTTGCATCTTAAAGTTGAGCGGCAGATTAGAAGCAGAGCTGGATTTAGAACTGAGGGATTCCTCATGCCTGAGCTCAGCATCATGGGTCAAATCCTTCCGGCCCGTGTAGTTTGCTTCTTGAGTACTCGCAGGGACTTTAGTGGAAGCTAGCTTGTAAGTGGAACCCTTTTCTTGGTTACGTGGTAGATGCTGTCTCTAAGCTAGTCGCTGTATGCAAGAGGCAGCCAGTGGTTGAACTAGAAATGCAGGCAACCTGGTAAGGCACCTACTTGCTGCTGCAGCTGAAGTGGCTTCATAGATGTTTGATGTCCTGAGAAGTGCTGGTATGGTATGTGTTCATACACTGGCCCTTTTCAGCCCTAACGGGACTGTGACCAAATGGGAATATACAGAAAGCACGAGTAGATTTTTCAGCAGAAAAGACCATTTGGCTTGAGGAACCTAACAGACAGCTAGGACGGCTCAGTAGCTCCTATAGCAATGTGGCACAACGCAGCTTTCTGCTCAGGATGTCCAGTGATGCATGCTGAAAGCTGCCTGAGATAAATTAAAGAGAGGCCACCCAAACATGAGAGAAAAAGGGACGTAACCGAAACAGGGTACACTCCCAGCTTGCCTGGGTCCGTGGGCTCCTATTACTGTTCTTTGTCAGGCAGGGAAGATTGTGAACTGTGAGACACAGTTATTTAGTAAAAGCATGTGAGGCTGCGTGCCCATTGATGCCAGCCGGCCGGGGACAGCTGCTGGGAGGTCGTGCAATGTCCTGCCTGGAGAGAGACGCCAAGGCTCAAATACCGGTGTCCTTTCCTTCTGCTGCGCCAGGCACACAGTAGGATGGTGTGGCTCACAGACAGTCAGCGGAAATGCATGCAGTGAAATGTTTTGGGGAGCTATGTGTGGCAGTTAATCTCTTCTTGTGCTGTAATAATAAATCTGTGGGCTAGTGTCTGCAGCACTGCCTCCGAGGATGCTTTGTGGGAAGAAACGTCTCTGTAATGTAGGGACAGTGAAGCTAAGCGATGCTCTGTAACGTCTCCTGTACCTACCTCTGCTTTCTTATGGCCAGTGGAAGGCTTGTTGCATTTGCTCCATCCTGTTAAAACTCTAAGACTCGATATCTCAAGTTTCTGCTCAGTCCAAATTTTACTTGCTGGATGAAACTGCCACCCAAGTAGATGAGAGGCTCCGGGAGGATAGAACTCACCCTTCTTCTGTCTAAATATTTGCAAAATTAGCACTTACTAGTGGCAGTGGAAAATGTGAGTGCACGCATACTCAGCCCGCTTCTAATACTTCATGTGACTATTATTGAGACCTACCAAATCAACAACATTGACCTGGCGATGGTGGTTCAAATTTCTCCCTGCTTTTTTTCCTAGCAAGGTGTTTACCTGAAATCTAAAATGCTCCTGTGAATAATGCTGAGAACAACTACCATGCTTTGTCCAGTCCTCTTGGCTGCAAAGAAATAGGCAGCGCATAGTGGAAAGTGAGTTGAGTGAATAATCCTGCTAGTGGAAAATCTGAGCAAAATCTGTGATTTCCTCCTGTTGCATTTCTTACATGAATCCAAAGGATGTGGCAAGTTTTTTAGCTCTCCAGATTGACCTGCAAGCGGTGGTCAGTGGTTTTTTTCCCCTGGATATATTGTTCTTGCTGATTAGGCTGCATTGGTTAGTTACAACTGATCAAATACATCAAGTTGCCTTTGAGGTGGACTAGCAGGTGAACACTCTTGTGCATTTCTCTTGAAGGTTTCCTGTGTTATTTTTGATGGGACCCCCCAAAGATGCAATTCTGTGAACCTCGACTAGGGATATATTCGTGGGAAAAGATCACAAAAAGGGATACCTGACATTGGGAGTGATACGCGTGTGTTTCAGACTGAATTGATGAAATCCTGAATGCTAAAGGAAAATATTTCTTCACGTGATTATAGGCCAAAGCTTAGGAGTCAGGTACTGCGGGTACTGAGAGCAAGCAGAGATGCTCAATGATGTGAAGATTTTTGAGGCATTACTTACTGCCAGTTCCCAAAATTCAAAATCATGAGTCAGACCCTCAAAATGTTTTGTGATTGGTTCCAAAATGTGCAAGGTGGAAGCCATTGTATTGTATTTTACTTCCTGAACTCCCTGCTCTCACCTCTAGTGTGCTGTGAGACGATGGAGATTCCCTGGTGCTTGCCATGCGCCATCTGAAAAGAGAAGTTGGTGGGATTTTAGGCCTTATCTACGTTGAAGGTCAACAACACCCTCCTTTCCCCTCAGCTCCTTATCTTTCTCATCTCTTACAGACTCAGTATGAGCTAGTCTGGTTTTAAATCTTTTTTTCAGTGCATCTGGTGCAGGTGACAGTTGGCACTGGAGGCTTGCAGCAGCGTAGCTAGTGGGAGGTGACTGGCCACATGTAGACTAGCTTCGATCATTGGCCCTCCTCGCCAAGTACTCTCCTGGGAAAAGAGCTACTAGGAGATTGGGAACTGCCCAAGAGACCTTTGGGGCAGACTATAGAGGAGTCGTGAAATCAGGAAGGTCGTACTGAGCTGTGTTAGAAAGTGCCTCTTCTGAGAAGGTATATCATTTGTCTGATTTCTGTAACCTTCCGCACTCCTGTTCCTTGCTCTTCCAGTTATCTCCTGCGTCGTATCGCAGTGGAGTGTGTGGAGCGGCTGCGCAGAGCCTTGCAAGACAACGTATCGTGTTCGGAGGCGGCACGTCCTTCAGGAGCCCAGGAACGGCGGAGAGCCGTGCCCTCCTCTGGAGGAGCGGGCTGGCTGCGTGGAGTACTGGAGTCAGCAAGGAGCCGAGTGCAAACAGTCCTTGAGTAAGTCCACTGAAAACGTAAGCCTCTCGGAGATGGGAGAGGGCTCGGGGCCAGCAGGCTCCGTTTATTGTATTTGAAAGGAGCTGTTTTCAGACACCCATGTATTTGCTCTGGGCCTCTCTGGTGTAACTGGGAACTGAACCCTTCACGTAGGGGCTTAGACAGGTCCTTCCTGGACAGTATTTAAGAACGGTGCTTGCCATTTGCTGTAAGCAGGTGTGTTTCAAAAGTGAGATGTTACAGGTAGATAGGTGAGATACTGCTTTTATGAATTTAAATCTCTAGTAATTTTGATGAAGTTGGTAGATTTATACCTGTTTAGAGCTTCTATAAGTGGGTGTTGAGCACTTTTATTTTCATCGTTATGAGTCATCTGTAAAAAGTCACGAAGGAAAAATACCCATTGAAGGCGAAGTATGGCTTCTCCACGCTGAAGGAGAGTGTGAAGCAGGGAAGACCTCCAGCGCGTTTCTGAAGAAAAGATCTGATTTGATTTTGTTCAGTTCAACTTCTCATGTCATACCTTTACTGATTTTTTAGAACAACTGCTTCTAATTTGTGATTTTTGCTGGTATTTCTGGGTCAAAATCTGTCCAGTCTGGAAGTTAACTACAACTGGCTTTTTCAAACCTGTTGAGAATTTGCCTCCTCTCTCTTTTGGGTGAGTCTGATAAGTAGGGTCACTCTGGTCAGGCAAAAAGTTGGAAACAATATAGATTCTCTTTTCAGTGGAATGATTGATAGTCACTGATAATACAAAAATTCAAGGTTAGAATTGTTTTCGTTTTCCTGCTAAAGGTAAAAAGCATGTGACGTTAAAGGCCAGTCTTTACTGTTTTGCAGACTTAAACAGCCTTAGAGCAATATTGTCGCTTAGCCCACGTACTCTTTCTCTTTGTTATGCACAGTCCCAGCATTAATAACAACAGGAGGATTTGGAAAAGCGAGGAAAAAAAGAGCTGCAGTTGATGGCAACGAAAGAGCAGGGTAAGTTGGGGGGTGAGCACAGGGGCACAGTCATACTCCACCTTCATCTTTTTTTCTCTGGTTGCAGTTTTGGGCCCAGCTTTCTGCCGAGTGGAATCAGCTTTTCCCAGCAGAGCGAGGGCCCTTCCCTAGGGCAGGGAGCCGTTCTCCCCTCCGTGATGGCAGCATCTACAGCGGGTCTAGGGCCTGTCTTGATTTAAAGCCAGTACAAGATGGAAAATCACATCCTAGTTCATGACATCACTGCTGAAGGATCATTTACTGACTGAAACTTGTAACATCAGCCTTACAGGGCCCTTGATCCCTACTAGTTGCCAGGAGAGGGAAGAGTATATTCCTAACCCAGGGTTTCTTTTCCATCTAGACCTTTCATTTTGATCCTTGTTTGCCCTTTAGGCTTGGCTTTAAGCTCTGTACTGAAGACAGACGTTATGGGTTAGAAACATGCTATCCTTGGCCTCAGAGCGTTAATGCTGAGTCCCAGGAAGTGTGCTGGGAACTGTAGTGCTGAGAGATGGTGCCTCAGTATTAGAAGTGGAACCAGGTGCAGTTTGCACACTTCTGTGTAAATCGGGTGAATTCTCAGCTGGCAGAGTTTGCTCTCTTGTTGCATGGGAAGTTCCTTGTACTGGGCGATTTGATTGCCTCAAGTGCTTGGGAGGGATCCATCTGCTGCTCGTGGCTATAAGACTGCCCATTTTTCCCCCATAGCACTGTTGTACAGTGCAGGTACAGGCCGGGTTGTGGGGAAGGCTCTCTTTTGCATTTTGCTGTTGAGACACAGCTGCGTGTGTATGTCTTCAGGCTACTGCCTCAAAGGTAATGAAGGAGCTGGTGTCAGCCTTCCTGGTCGTCTTTTTGCCAGTTGGGGTCATTGCTTGCAGTGACACAGTGCTGGCGTGAAAGGTGGTCTCCTACCCTCTAACTCCCTCTTAAACAGCTTTGCAGGCTAGTTATTCTCTAGGGAGAAACTTCTTGCAGTCCTTGGGAGGTTTTTCCTTTTCTTGTTGAGAGCTGTCATTCCTGGAAATGCCACGTGGAGTTTCTCAGAGCCTCTCCTGTGGCATGAAGCAGCCAGGCACTTGTTGATTTATTTCCCCGCGTGATCTTGCACATGTAAGTATTTCCATAGCGTGTGGGTGCATCTATCCCCCTCACTTAAGTGTCTGAAGGGAAGAGCATCAGTTCACCCTGAGCCTCCGTTGGGCTCCTGAATAGTTGAGCCTTCTTTCTGTAAAATCCAAAAGCATAAGCATGACTCCATGGCACGCACATTTATTCCTTCTCCCTTTCTGTCCGATAAGGTAAGATAAGGAAGCAAACTGCTCACACAATTCAATGTGCTACTGGAAGGTGTTTGGAAATCCCTGTGATGACTGATATGTAGCCAGTCTAGACTAGATTCCAACTCTTTGCTGTGTTTACAGACAGTTACTGTATTTCCTTGGTTTTCCCCTCTAAACAAAGCTAGTTCTCTCGGGCTTTCCTTTCAGCTTTGGTTAAAAGCAGAGCAGAGCAGTCTGAGCAGGGCAGAAGTATCAATCTGGTAGTCCTCCCACCAAAACGTGACAACTTCACTGTGTCTCCCAGGAGGGAGAAGATCACCAGAAAAACTTTTACAGACCAAATCTTAGCTCTTGTCAAATATTACTCCATGAAACCGTTATAAATAATTGAGAGTAGATGATGGGGAAAGTGTGGTTCTGCAAATAGATACCAGATTTGGAATCCAAAGACTCAGTTCTGTTTTTTTTGGCTTTAGTCAAACGCTTGACCTATCTGTGCCTCTATATCCCCATTTGTAAAAGACATACCAATAGACCTGGCTGTTCTTTGATATGTGCGTTTGGAAACACCAGCAGAGTAGCTTTACACTGCATTTAGCCTTGTCAGAATGCAGGCATGCCATACATTTTGTTTCATGTGTTTTTTTTCTTCTTTTAATTGATAGTGTGTGATCACCCAATTTAATCTAGCTCTCCCTGTCCTGCGGAGGGCTGTAAACTGATTATTGAACTAACCCTGTCTGTTATGTTGGTTGCAGATACTGTGTTGAATTCCAGCTCGTGGCCATCACGCAGGGCTGCTTGCACAGTCACCACTCGTACACTCACTGGATGCGGTACCTCCGGGAGGGCCACACGGTCTGTGTGGAGTGTCAGCACCCAGCGTTGGATTCCAGGAGTCTACATTGCTATGGGGATGGCCGCGGGAGCCAAAAGTAAGAGACTGGGGTTCTGCCTCCTTTAGCGTAGTTGTTCCCGTATTGAATTTTTACGTTCCTCCCCCTTGATCTGCTTAGAGAGATCTGTCCCAATTTCATAATGTACTGCACTCAGCCAGCACTTTACCCCTTTAGAGTATTTACATGTATTGGACTCAATCCTTGCTGGATACCACCAGCTAGGCTGGAAATACTCTAATCACTTCCCTGCAGAGATGAAATGATCTGGTGAAGCTCGCATAGTAAACCAGTGGCAGAGCCAGAATTGGAGTGCGGGAGTGCCTGCGCTTAGAGGGCTAAATCTCACTGTCTTTTCATTTTAAGTGGCACAGTTGTGGTTTTTCTGTTTTTAAGACATTCTAGCCATGTCTGTAAGGTTAACAGGCCTGTCAGATGGGAAATTAAACCAAATCTATTGGTGATTTTTGAGCACTGTTAGTTTAATTGGAGTGGCTTCATCTTGATCTGGACTTTGTTCTGCAAATGACCTTTTATGGGTATTTCTGGAGAGTGGCATCTGACTCAGGGACATGGGTTAGTGCTGGCTCTGAGGCTGGACGGAAGTGCTGCTAAATTTTTGCACTTTCAGCATACTTTCTCTGGAAAGCTCAAGAAGTTTTGGGGCAATTGATGAGGACCACACAGGTTGTACAGATGAGTAGACTCCAGCAAAGATGAAGGGAATGGCTTGTTCTGAGCTGTGAAACGCATCTGTGGCAGAGCCACCAACAGAGCAGAGGGGTCCCGACTCCAAAGCTTCTGCTGTGGTCATCGGAGGCACAGCTTTTCCAGTTCTTTTATCCTGATACTCTTGGAATTTAACCCTGTTTTTAGTTTATTAAAGCATCCCATGGAACTGCGTTGCAGCCTTGCCTGAGAAATCATTGCCTATCAGTGCTGGACAGGGGTATTTTTTTAATTTATATAAATGTTGAAATAAACAAATTTATTTGAATTAATAACTCTATACGAGGTTTACTAGACCTTAAACACACAATATATTACACTACCCGTAATGGCCTTTTTAGGCAGGGTTTGTCTCAGGCTTTTAATAAGAGGAAATCATGTTAAAGTCTTTTTTTCCCCTGCCTCAGCTTCAGAATCACACAGCTTGTTATGTATAAAGGTTCCAAAAGGTTTTCAGATAAAGAGGAAAAAATCGAACTGGTGTGGCCAGACTAAGCTCTTACCTGCATTCAATATGTAAATGATTATAAAAGCTTACGGTAACATTGTTTACTAAAACCCTGGAGCCAGACAGGAACATCAGATTAGGTGAAATAAAAATATCTACAAGAATCGATTTCCTAAGAGGACTGCAAAAAGAGGGGCTCTGTTTTCATTTGCCTGGTTATCTGGTGAACTACGCACCGTACATGGAACGGAAGCACTGAGAAAATCTCATTGTGTCTCCTCGGAACAATGAATCTGATCCATGCTGGCAGGCTGAAGGGGTAGCGTTAATAGAGTTGGGGTGGACGGGGACTGTGGGATTGTGACTACTGACTTCAGTAATCGTGGACTCAGTCCACGTCTCAGCAGCTGTCTTGACTCCATCCTGGTTGAGCAGAGCCTAGAAGTCTTTTCCAAAGACTTGTTGTAGGGTGGTGCATGTGAGAAAAATTGGTAGGTCCATTTCTTTACAGGTATGTGAGAACCAATGGGGAAACCAACCTTTAACACAGTGAGCTTTTACTCCTCTAGTGTTACAGCCTGTACTATCAAATAAAGTCATGTCTACATGGCGTTTTGTAGGCAAAGGTGAGCTGTGTATGCATGTGTGCTCACTCGTGTTCGTTACCAGCATAGTAAAGTGGGCTTGGAGGACAAGCAGAGCTGGCCTGGACTGTCCTGAGGAGTGGACAAAGCTCAGATCTGCAAAAGCTCAGATCTGCAAAAGCTCACCTCTAAGATGCACTTTATGCCTCCTTGAAATATCAGTGCTGGGCAGTTTTGTCAGAGCTGAAAGGGTGACTGGCAGGTGGAGCGTGAATGCTGTTGCTGGTCTGCAGCTTCCTCATCAAAACTGCATTTGCGTGTGAGGCGTACACTGTGTTGTAGGTAACCCCCACCTATCTTGTAGAAACCTCCAGGGCTTAGTCGTGTGTTCTGCATCACTGTATAACCTTGCAATGGTGGATCAAGGAGGCAGTTACTTGGGGCTGAGCACCTTGCGTGTTTTACTTGATATAAATATCCCAAGTGCCAAGTATAATAAGGTATAATAATTAATCTAGGTATTCTTTACATGGACAGAGCTGCCTCCTAATTTTTTTCCAGAAATAGTACACTTTTGCCAGGTTGCATAGAGGAGAAAACTGCCCTCCATGATCTTGGAGAAGAGACTGGCCTTTTGGTGGGGATAGCCGTTGAGTGGGATGAGGGAAAAGTCTATGCAAAGGTTTCTCCCTTCTGTTAGAGCAAGGGGGCATATGTGAGCATGCAGTGTTGTGAGGGAGCAGTGCTGTGAGGAGGTTATGTGGTGAGCTCCTCATATTGGGTCTTGCTGGCCAGGAGGCTTGGTAGGAAGATCGGAAGGAGAGCGTAGGGCAACTGCTGCCCCGAGAAGGTGAATGTTGGAAGCATGAGAGGCTGATGTCAAATTTTAGCCTTTGTAATGCTGCTGGCCGCCCTGCCAGGGAGACGTGGACGGTTTGCTGGTAATCTCAGGCCAACGGTTGTGCAGGCTGACCCGTGCCACCGCTCACTGGCTCAGCTCGTGCTGGCACCGGTGGGGGCGTCCTGCTGGGCGAGTGAGCACAGCTGCTGCCGCTGGCGCACCCACGCCGTGCCCGCGCTCTGCTTCTCGAGCTGTCGGTTTGGCAGCCTGTGCCAGCAGTTAGTTCCCTGACTTCTAAGAGTGACTCTCAGGAAGGAAAACATCTGACAGAGTTTATTTTAAACTCAGCAATGCTGTTATATTTTGATGAGTGTTTCCTAATTATCTTCTTGTGTCTAAGTGGAGTCTGGTTTATAAATGCTTCAAGTTTAAGAGAGACTCGTGTTATCTGTGCCTTCCACCAGTCTCCCACTCTGTAGAAGAAACTAGTTTGTTTTAACCCTTTTGGGGAAACCTCATGAGCTTGCATTCATTTCACAAAGTGCTTGATTTGTGGACAGATCTGTGGCCATCAGGTGAGGACAGCTGGAATAATCCGATTGCTTTGGTTGGCTTCTTCCTTCTAGAAGGCGGTGAGACAGGCAGGGCAGAGTACTGAGCCAGAAAATCGATCTGTTAATTTTGGATCATCTTCTGAAAGATCTGCAAACAAAGCACAGGGCAGCAAACTTGACATCTGTGAAATTGTTGCTGAGCCTGTGTCTAGGAGGATCAGCTGCTCTTCATCATCTGGAGCAAGATGGGACAGATCTAGCATATAAATGCCCAGACTGCAAAAGTTGGTCTATGCTGATGGAGGTGGGGGGAGAACAAAGTCAGTACTTGCTTCTCCCACCAGCAGGACTGCTTTTGGCACGTTTACCTTATGTTTAAGGAATAGAGTCTTTTAAAGGTAAAGTTGCAGCCCAGAGTTACGCAGAGTGCGGGACTGCTCTGTGCGTGCAGCCTGCTTTATCTGGGATCTTCATTCTCCCTGTGCGGATTCTGGTATTTTGAATGACCCTAAGGCAGAAGAAAAATACAGTGAGCTTTTTTCCAACCGTGTGTGATGCATAAAACCCTGCTCTGGAGCATGGCATCTCATTAAACCGAGGGCAGGGTTATCTTTGTGGAGCCACAGCAATAATTCCGGTTTCCACAGAACTATAAAGCAAGTAGGAGTTAAGGATGTATTGGGCTATTCTATGAGCAGCTCTCTGCACAGGGCAAGAGCTGATCAAATCGTGGTTTCTGTGCTTCTCTGTAGGTCATGGCTGAGGCGAGCTGACATGAGGAATTCCCTTGAACCATTGAATGCTAAAATCTGGGAAGGGGTACACTATGTGTGTCTTGTTCCTTATGCTCCATCTGCATATGGAGACAGGTCTTATAGGTTTTATAGGTCTTTTGTTCAAGCCCAGGTCCATGTGCTTATGAGGCAGTGAGTATCTGTGTAATGAAGAGGGTGCTGCTATTGCCTGCAGCAGAATTTCAGCCTCTGTACCTATTAGGCCAGCGCTTCTTTTGCAGCTGCTGATTGTGGAAAACAGCCTGTGGATCTTTAGCTTGGTTGTTTTAATAGGACATTTCTCTGTTCAGTTCTGGTCAAGGTATTCATGGATTGCCTTGGAGCAAAGGGGTTAGAAATAATGCTCATGTTTTTTATCTTGCCTCCCACCTGACAGACCCATCAATAGCCTTGTTCCAGCACACAAAGATCTAGTACCTCCAGCCAGTTGCAATCCAGAAATGCATGGCTCTTAGCAAGGCTGGAAGGCTTGGGCAAGTGTTCCACTAATGTGCTTACATAGAAGCACTCATGTGTCCTCACACCTGCTCCCACATGGGCTGTGTATGGCATGTTGGGTGCTTACTCCTCAGCATCTGGATGTCTATGGATGGCAGTAGAGCTCTACTAGCCGAGAGGAAGCATGATGCCATAAATAAAAATGGAGAAAGAGGGATTTTTGCCCACTTTGCAACCTGTCAAATGCTTCAATACGAGTTACGGCGATGTGGGAGTGTTTTGTGAGTTGCTTCATGCAATGATGGGTACCTTGCGGGACTGTTTCTGTGAGTCTTCTTGGACTTGGCATCTGCAATATATGCTGCTTCTTCTAGTTCTTCCAGTGCAGTGTTCTTCAGAGGACTAATTGTGGCTTCACTTCACAGTATTATAATCCTTCTGGGGTTACTGCAGTTGGTGGTTCTTCCCAGAAGTAGAAAGGCAGAATTGGGGCCATTGAGTGATAGCAAACTAAATGCGATTTACTGGGTGACTTAAGCCCTAGTTGTATAAGGGACTTGCTGCAGCAGGAGTGCAGTGCATTAACCTTCTCCCGTTTCTGATTGCATTTCAGGAATCAGCTGCTGCACTGGCAGGCTGTGGGGAACCCACAGTGCAGGGGAACCTGGAAGAGAATTCGCCAGCTGGACACTTGCTCCTGTCCCTCTGTTCACAGCTTCCTGTTCATCTAAATTCTCCTGATGGTCCCAGCAAAAGAGCAGCGTGACGGCTTGTCTGGCACAAACGTGCAGCAGCAGCAGTGACCACAACCAAACCGGTGACTTCTCTGGGTCAAAGGTTGAGCTGTTTGCTTCCAAGAGGTTGCTGTCTGCCCTGGGCTGTTCTGACTCCTTCCTGTCCATCTGTACTCCTCAGTTTTCAGAGTAATCAGGCTGACTGTGAAGCATCCATCCCCTTCTCTCAGCACATCCATCCTTGCTGCCTCTTCTGCCTGGGAAAGGCCTTTCTGACCCTGATGACTTTCAAATTCACCCTTCCTTGAGAGGAGCAAGAATTTACCAAATAAGAAAGCGGACAGAAAAAAAGCCAGTATAAACCCATGATTAATTATTATTTCCCAAAGTCTCACTGAATAATCAGCAAATTCATGCAAAATGAATTAACTCAAGTGCCTCATTTACGTGGCAATAGCACTTCTTTGTGGCTGCTTCTTGCTTGTGTTTATATATCTTTTCCTTGTATTTTCACCCTCCCTGGTCTCATCATTTCATATTGGTCCTCAGTCTCATAAATGGTTGATAGTGCCCTGTTGAGGTAATGGCAAAACTTAGAAACAAGCCTATTCAAACCTGAGAACAGAAGGTACCAGGGATGATTGTGTCCTTGGATTTCAGGTTTCAAGAAACATCTCTAAATTTCCTCAAAGTGCCTTGCTGTCCTGGGGCTCTAAATAGCAAGTCATTCTGGCTGCACCAGGAGGGGAGCTAACTGTAGCCGTGTATTTCCTCCTGGAAAATATTTGGAATATTTTCTTTATTTTCTGCTGATTTATATTCGTGTTTTTCTATAAACGAAAATAAAAGAGACTAGAGATGTTCTCCCAGTGTGTATCTACGTGATTAATTTGTGCAGTGCCATCTCTTCAGCTCCTGAACCTGCCTTATTTGTTCCAGCCAATCTTGCTGTCAGCTCTTCTGCTACCACAGACAGGACTGGGGAAGGCGTTGCTGCTGTCAAGTTCCAGACCACTCCGAATTTCCTGAAGGTAGTTGAATCCTGCAACCTACTAGTATGCAGAAGTGGATGTGATACTTCTTATAATATGTGCAGTGCTCTAAATCTACTTAAGGCAAATTACAACCTGAAGGCCAAGCACAGAAAGGACTTACAAGGGAGTGGTGCAATGGCAAACGTTTTAGGTAACTGAATTTGTTACAGTCCGGTTGTATGGCTGGGGGTGGGTCCAGAACAGAGCTTTAATGTCAAGTCAGACGCTAGTCTAGGCGTATGATTTGGATCATGAAGTCCATGTGGGATTCATGTAGGCTTCTCCATGTGTTGATAACTTTTTGTGAAAATACTGAAGGGCTTGGAAGGCAGGTGCTGGAGACGCCTAGAGGCATACGTGCAACAAGGTGCTGAGAGGCCAGAATATGCCTGATGGCCCTTGGCCAGCGCAGCAGGGCTGTTAGAGCACGGCTCAGCTTTTTACCGTATGTTACATGCCTCTCTGGGAATTAGTGGCTCACAGTGAGGAGATCTCATCCCGGGGTAGCAAGAAGGAAATAAATGGCTTGTGCTTTAGTGTCTGACATAACTACCTGGCCTTTGTGGCCTGCTCAGGAGTACTTGCTGGTTGGATGTGATCCTTTGAGGAGTGATTTATGAGTAAATAGCCAGTGTGCAGCATTTTGTTTTTTGTGGTGAGGAATTTCTATCAAGCTAGAAGCCAGCTTCTTGTTCTTGGTGGAGATAGGTAGTCATAGTAGCATTTAATCATTGGAAAGTTTTATTTACCGAGAAAAAGCCCTCTCTCAGGCTGCAGAAATCCAAAGAGGCTGTCATTAATTTCAAGAGCAGAATAGAGCCTGCTATTGGAAACGTTTTCCACTTCAAAAATCGTCCCAAACCTCTGACAACATGAATCCCTACTCTGACCAAGTGCATTCAGAATTGGGTGCCAAATCTGTAAACTATGCAATTTTTGCTTGATAATGCTTAATAAACATCATAGTCTTCAAAAAACTGCATTCACCCCAGTGCCCCTCCTCTATGATATCAGAAGAGCCAGTCAGGTAGAAGATGACTGTATTGCAAAGTTACAAATGATAGTGTCAGCTAGGAATGACTTTTCTTATAATCAATGAAATGATGTGGCATCTTAGAGCACTTTAATTGCAATTCCTTTCCATTATCCAGTACTTAGGCATTAGCTGTACTGCGTTTATGCATAAAAATTTTGTTAGATTGTCATAGTACTTGTTGTCAAGTATTTAGTATTCATAGAAATCCTTTTTGTGGTAAATCTTCCAGGAAATGATGATGATTGGCACCTGCCATGGGTAAATGGTGTGAAACACCCTCCCCAAACCCAAACCTTGTTGAAAAAAGACTACCGTTCTGCTTCAGTCTGAAAAATAATTGAGCCATAAGAGAGGTTCCTTGGGTAATACTTCATTCTATCCTGATGGAAACTAGGAAACTCTAGTGCGTGTCAGTATAAATTTGATGCGTAGAAAGTTTTCAGAATCAGGCTCTTGAGTGCGTGAAGCTACAGTGAGTTGAGAAGTTTGAGGAGAGGCTATTTCAGGAATAATATTCTGGTTGAGAACGCTATAAAATTTGAGATTGGTCATCTTTTTTGGAGGTTCACAATAAGTTTGCTAAAAATATATTTTAGGTTGACTGAAACCGCTTGTAAATTCATACCACATTTGATGATTGCTCCTCTTAGACAGAGACAGAGGAAAGAGAGGGATTTAGAAGCAGTGAAATGTTTTTATACCTGCTAAGTGAAGTATTTTGATCTCTAATTCTGGAGTTTTGTTTCAAGATTGAAAGAATCTGAGTCAAACAAAATATTTGGTTCAACCTCCTCATTATTTTCAAGTTTCTATTTCAAAGAAAATACTGGAGTTAAAAAAAAAAAAAGTCAATTTGAATTGGTCAAAATGACTTATTTTTCAGTGTTCTTCCTGCCTCCCCATCCATTCTTAAATCAGAGATCAGCTGTTTGCACGGCTAGGTTCATACGTGATCAGGCTTGCCGATATCTGAAAGCTGCTACTACCTGAATGAAGAGAAGGGATAGTGTTCTCTTTTGGGTTCTGTTTGTGAGATAGCCGTGATATTAAATCAATATTTCAGTAAGCACAAAATAGTCTGTCGCTATAGTCGGTGACCTGTTGGTCATGCTTTTCTTTGCTGCTATCTCAGCCCCTGAGAGCTGATAACATGAGGTCCTGACAAGAGCTGCTGATGGTGGCATGGTAGGACTTGTAGCTTCCCTCCTCTGCCACTGTAGCCTGGGGATGCAGGCACATACAAGAATTAGCCCAGCAGGGACCCTCAGAGCAGCTAGATTTCTACCCAGGCTATGTCACTTGGTGAAACATGACATGGCGAATATATCGGTCTATCAGCACGGTCTAAAAAGGGCAATGCAGTGTGCTGGCTTCAACTCTATACCTCGGGTAACTGTACAAACAAATTTACCGGTCAGTAAATTCCTTGGGGGACAGAGGGAGAGAAATGCCAAGTGTGTGTGTGTGAGAGAGGGAGCAAGAGTGAGCCTTTCAAGGAGAAGATAAGCTGTCAGGTCCCTTCCCCTGCAAATGAAAACTAGCCCATGGTGTAGCCGAATACTAGGTCTTGCCTGTTCCTCTCTAGGGACTTTATCATCATCCATCATTATAATCTCCATAATATCTGCAGCCTGGCTTTTGGGAAAGATAAGATGACTGGAAACCCAAGGCTAAATACTCCTGAAAAATGGCTTTGTACAGTAAACAAGAAAGGCAGCCTCACATTGAGGAAAGGCTTTTCACTGAAGATGACAGCTGTTCCCATGACAACACCAAAAACCTTTCTCCATTGGGTATCAACCAGAGAACATCTCCCACGGCAAGTAGATGCAGCCATCAGCTTAGTCCTCTTCTCTCATAAATAATCCTGTTGGGCAGGAATAATCAGGATCTGCCAGTTGTGCATGTGCAGCGCACCTTGCATCCTCGCACCAGGATGCAAGCCTGCTTTAAACGAAAGGAACGGTAAATAAACCTGGAACACCAGGGGGCTGGATTTATTTAAAAGGAAAA